GTTGAAGGACTACGAAAGTCTGAATAATTAATGCATTTATTTCCAGAGATGGTCACTCATTTTTTGTCTGCTCATCAATTAGTACCACATACGTATCCTAGTTGATGTTTGCGGCAAATCAGTGGTATTTCTTAAGATGACACTGTAACAAAATATTTTAGATGAAGACCAAATAAAATTTCAAAATTCAAATTTCGAGATAAATATGATTAATTTTGCCTATCCACAATCGAACCACTAACCTGACAGTACTTAACGGGGAGCTTACTCAATGTTTGACTTACTGTAATAAATTCCTAGCGACTGACTTTGGCCAGTTAATTTGTTTGAAACAGACTCCTCTCGACAATTGTCCTAAAACTTTAGCCTTTTTGACACTCGCGCTTCACGAAATTAACAAAATTTATCCGAAGAGCAGAATAGACCAATTTCACGTGGAAAGTAGAATAAATCAACATCACTGGAGTCCTACAGCCAATGAAATCTCGTCAAAACCACTTAACAAACTTTTTCTTTTTGACTAATAAACACATGTTCTCTTGCCTCTGATTATGACTTCCTCGGATTGTCGAAACATCCAGAACTAAAATCGACACCAGTCCACTTCGAGACTAACCGGACTCTAATAAACACTACACGATGGACTGCAAAAGCTAAAAGAAGGCATTAAGAAATGGTTGGCCGTGACCAAATTGATTTGATTTTAATTTAATTTTTGAGATGATCTAAATTTTGTATAACGAGTTTCACCAGTTTTGGTCGACAAAGAAGCGCCTTTCTGTCCTGTTTGAAGTACAAAAGGAAAGAAAAAGTGCCATTTTAAAACTTATACTCACTGATTTGTCTGTTCAACTAAGATCAGTTTCAGTATGTTGATCTATGTTGGCTCTATTCTTAAAACTCTTCTGCCTGGCCACGATTTCTCCCAAATAATTAACTAAAAAATTTGTTTTTATATAAACCAGCTCCTTTTTGGCACTATTGTGAACAAAGAATAGAAGCTTGTGGCATATCTGTTAATGAGCAATGACCAATGACCAAGGCAATTACCAAAAATTTGTTGAATAAGAATACTTTTCTCGGATTTTCTTACAAATTTTCCTGGAAAAAACGTTACGGAACACTTCTTTAAGCATATGTACAGTTTTTAGCGAGTCTAGTCGATTACAAAGAAATGCAACATTTTCTAATAAGAGGGGAATGAATTTGGCGAAAATTTCTGCACAAATCGCAGAAGAAAGCAATCAAACTGAAAGGACAACAGTTGACAAAAGGTAGATAATCAATAGTAGCATCTCAAGACGAAGTAACGTGGTAAACACCATTGGTGCCTTGTTTGAGAAATTTGCCAAAGGATTGGGCGTTAATTACCAATGCATTACTCGCTCGAAATTCAAACCAGTTTTCTTTGAATTATTGAGTGCTCTTATATTTCATTCAAGATTTCACATTTTCACGGCGACTACCAAAGGAATTCTAGAGACTGTGGACAATTTGAGAGAGAAGAAACGTTAAAATATTACGAAAAACTTGCAAAAATGAAGAAATGAAAATCATACAAAGCAATATTCCTTTGGTCTAATTTAATTACATTGTACCTTCATGTTAGGAAATTTGATGCACATTTTCTTTGTTTTTTACCAAACTGACGTGCGATTGTTAAATGGAAAGTTATCAGACACAAATGAATTAGTGTGTGCTCGTGTTCAAAGTTTGTAGGTTATGATCATTTCACCGCTATGATTTTTTTTCGCTGGTTTAAATAAATTATTGGTATAAATTCGAATTTTTGAGTGATAATCCAAAAAAACATGTAAATTAGATCGTCTTGTAAACAGGGAATCAATCGCTTTCTCCTTTACGGCCAGGCATTTGGGTTTAAAATAATATGGTAGTTAGTTAATCTATTTATACTTACTGGTAAGTGAATAGAGGATCCTTTGTGCTCTCACTCGGTATAACACAGGAATAAAGAAAAAAACACCAGTAACATTTGTGATTTGGATCTTCATTAGAATCAATCATTACACACAGTAAAACGAAATTTGGTCTTACTCGTAGAACAATCTGCTCTGATTTTCTTCGGGAACACAGAGAATAAAAAGTTGAGCCCAATTGTTACATGCCTTAGCTCTTGAAGCCAAAACCAAATTCTTTAAGTCTGCTCCATGGTATTTTATTCAGTTTCCAACTGCCTTAAGAATTCAGTTTTAAGATCTTGGAGCTCAATTGTTAAACGTCTTCGCACTTGCGGCGAAAATCAAATTGTAAAAGTTTGCTCCAATAATTGGCATTACTTTATTGCTCAAGTCTTCAGGAATACAGTTGTGGAATGTATCAACTCGTGCAGCTAAAATTAAAGTAAAAAATCGTGCTTCAAAAGTTTGATATCATTGTATTTCTTGAAATCCCAGTAAGGTTTCGGATCAAAATAATAAAATTAAAAAAAAATTGGAAATCAAGTTCAAAAGTTTCCAATTTTCTTTTTTTTTTTTTTGCCCAGCTTTTCCATCTGGTGTCCTGTGTTACTTTCGAAAAGTGGTTGTTCTTAAGATCCTTTGTTCAGAAAAAGTATTATGGAAAGCTAGGGGTTGAAAAACTTGATTGAATAGGAAAAAATCGTCGATAATTCGACGTTTAACTTGTATTTCTGATACGTCAATCTATAGCTTGTCATAGTACTTTTTTTATTTGATATATTTCGTGAAATTTCAATTCAAATTTTCTGTCGAGAAAACAAAATGAACACTTGAGATATAATTTTTTTAAGAATACAAGAAATGGAGTTCTTTTTCAAATTCTTCTCGAGATGATGCTTATCAAATTTTTGGCAGAAACCTTATTTGAATTTTTACCGGATAAGTTGCCAGGAGAAACGCTGTGCAAATTTTTCCAAATTTTCCCGCCAAAATTCTTAGTATATTTACAAAAAGTTTTTCTGGACACCTTTTTATTAAACAAATTGAAAATTACTTATCTTGTAATTATAGTGGATTTGTAGTAAATAAAATAATTTGTCAAAATGAATCACGTGTGGTTTATACTGAGTGCGGGCATTACAATATTACACAAATAGGTCACTTTACTCTTGAAGCATTAATAAAAGAAAACAACAAATGAAAGAGGATAACTTTATTGACAATGTGTACTAACATCAACTCACAAAAATTGAAAAAAAACGGCGCATGCGTATTTTAAGCACCGTATTTTTTGCTAAGTTTTTTGGTGGGAAAATTGTAGCATTTAAAAAAGCCCCACGTGTAAATTAAGCCAAAAAAATTCTCTTCAACTCCTTTTGTAATCGCGTCTACCCTTAAGTCCTCGATTATGGCAAAGAAATCTTTGTTCCGACTCGTCGTCTGCCAATTAGGAATGCGCGACATCTGTTATTGTACCTCATGACTTAGTCTTGTCTTTAACTTGGATAATGGCCCTCCTTGTGCTTGGACCCTCGGCGATATTCACAACGAAGTTTGCAAGAAAGGAAAATAAATGGTCAATAAACAAATGCAATAGATCATAAAGTGCGTATTATACACGGCTAAATATGATAAAGATACAGTGTAGACTGTTTGCAGAAACAATGTTATGATAAAGGTATAAATTAGTATTTAAATCCTTGACATGTCGAGTGACGATACGAAAGAACGTAACCTGGATTTACCGATAAATTCGATTCATTCGCGAATGAATTTT